AACAAAAGAAAAACAAAGAAGATTTCACTGTCCAAATGGATTCCATGGGTATAGAGTACAACGCCGGCGACGCAGCCAAGGAAATCGTGGATGAAAGCGATGTCTCTCCCATCGAACAAGTCCGCCTAACCGTACCCACCACTGATGATCCAACACTCCCAGTATGGACGTTTCGAATGTGGTTTTTGGGAATCATCTCCTGCGTTCTGCTTTCATTTCTCAACACTTTCTTTGGATACCACACGGAACCACTCGTAATCACGATGATATCAATCCAGGTGGCCACGCTCCCCATCGGAAAGTTCTTGGCAAAGGTGCTTCCCTCCACCAAGTTTCATATCCCCGGTACCACATGGGAGTTTTCTCTAAACCCCGGCCCATTTAACGTCAAAGAGCATGTCTTGATTTCAATTTTTGCCAACACTGGAGCCGCTTTTGGCAGCGGTGCCGCTTATGCCATCGGCATTGTGGATATTATTTGGGTGTTCTACCACAGGAGGATCACTTTCTTAGCTAGCTGGATACTAGTCATCACTACACAGGTTATATAACTACATATTTCCATTTTACATTTGAAAAAAAAAAAATCAAGCTATCAGTTAATCATTGATGATTGATTCCAATATTTTTCAGTTTGAACGAGCAAATTAGTTTGTTGATGAGTTGTGTCATTGGTGTTTTGTGCAGGTTTTGGGGTATGGATGGGCAGGGATTATGAGAAAGTTTGTGGTGGAACCTGCCCATATGTGGTGGCCTAGTAGTCTGGTCCAAGTCTCCCTTTTTAGGTAAAATTTTCGCGTTTCTTATTTAAGGTTACACAAAACGCTGGACAATAATGGGCACTTGCACACAACCTATAACCTAAAGTACCTAGGCAGTGGCTAGTTTTTTTTTGAAATAATTTTTTTGATATAATTAAAAAGAAAAAAGAAAAAAATGCAAAATAATTAAAAAATGACAAAATAAACAATAGAATTAAATATTTTTTTATTTATTATCATGTTTGAAAAGCAAAATTAAGGAGAATTACTTAGTCTTTGATGTTTTTCTTAATATAATTTTTATAATATATTAGTCAACATTGTTTCATTAAGCTAAAAAAAAAAGAATTTTCTCATACGCTTTAGGTGCCATTAAGCATACCTAATAGAACCTTAACGTGTTTAATTGATTTGGATGATGCAAATCATATTGAATCTTTGCTTCTCCAGATGACATTAAGCATGCTTAATAGTGCTTCGACATGCTTAATTGATCTAGCCAGTACAAACTGCATTAAATTTCTATTTAGAGACTAATGTAGGCAGAGTGGCATTGCCTAGATACTAGGAGGCAGCACCTAGACTCGCTTTTTACAACGCTATTCTTGTTGCAATCATATATAGTTTTGGTTTAATCGACTATTCTTTTGATTTAATAATTGGAACAATTACAGTATGTTCGTACTAGGAGGAGATGAAATTCATGTTCATGTTCTGCCAGTTGCTTACAATTACATAAACACATTTGCAGTGCATTGCATGAGAAAGACAACAGTCGGATGTCCCGAGGGAAATTCTTCTTGATTGCACTTGTTTGCAGCTTTGCTTGGTATGTCTTTCCAGGATACCTCTTCAAAATTCTAGCAACCATTTCTTGGGTCTGCTGGGCATTCCCCAAGTCAGTAGCTGCCCATCAGATTGGGTCAGGCAGGGACGGACTCGGCATTGGATCCTTTGCTCTGGACTGGTCAACCATAGCCTCTTTCCTTGGCAGCCCTCTCATCACCCCTTTCTTTGCCATTGTCAACATCATTGCAGGATATATCTTAACGCTCTATGTCGTCATTCCCATTGCTTACTACGGACTAAATGTCTACAGTGCCCACAAATTCCCCATATTTTCTTCGGATTTGTTTAATTCCAAGGGAGAATTATACAATGTTTCAGCCATTGTGAATGACAAGTTTGAAATAGACTTGCCTTCATATGAGCAGCAGGGGCTAATGAACCTTAGTGTGTTCTTCTCACTCACATATGGAATTGGCTTCGCTGCTGTTATATCCACCTTGACTCATGTTGCCTTCTTTAATGGAAAGTGAGTAATCAAAACTTAAAAGTATTTGAATTTACTACTAGTAATTGTTAGTATTCTACAATGCTTTTGGTTGGCTCAGAATCTAAAATGAATTTTCTAACAACAGGGAGATACTTAGCCAATTTCGATCTTCTTACAAAGCAAATAAAGTAGATATCCATACAAAGTTGATGAGAAAGTATAAGGACATACCCAATTGGTGGTTTCATCTGATGCTTGGGGCGTCTTTGCTACTATCCCTTGTCCTGTGCATCTTTATGAAAGATCAAGTTCAACTACCTTGGTGGGGTGTCCTTTTTGCAGCTGGTCTTGCATTAACTTTTACACTTCCTATTAGCATCATAACTGCCACTACAAATCAGGTTACACAATCTTTTATTTCCAGATAATTTTTTTCTCTGTATGGTTCTAAACTAGAGATAATCGTTTAGATTCAAAATCTAAACATATTTTGAATTTTAGATAATTTGAGTTACTCTTTTAATGATTCGGTATCTTCTTATTGCTAGACACCTGGACTTAATGTAATCACAGAGTATGTCATGGGTATCATACTACCAGGAAGACCGATAGCCAATGTCTGCTTCAAGACTTATGGGTATATAAGTATGGCACAGGCAATTTCTTTCCTTAATGATTTCAAGCTGGGCCATTACATGAAAATTCCACCAAGATCAATGTTTGTAGTACAGGTGGGTAGATCTTAAATCCTAGCAATTCCTTCACTTTAATATCAGAGCATAATAACATCAGAATTCTATGATCTAGAAATGGCCTGTCCTTGATGTTTACACAAATGCATGTAAGAACATTTAGCTAGATTTTGTCCCCCTGTGAGTAATCTCTTCATTTAAATATCTAATTTCTTCTCTTACTGTTGTATAAAAAAGATTATAGGGACCATAATAGCTGGGACGGTTAATCTGTCAGTGGCATGGTGGTTGTTGCATACTGTTGAGAATATATGCCAACGTGATTTGCTCCCTCCCAGCAGTCCCTGGCAATGTCCCAGTGACCGAGTCTTCTATGATGCATCTGTTCTTTGGGGCCTGATTGGACCAAAAAGAATCTTTGGCACTCTTGGAAATTACTCTGCACTCAATTGGTTCTTCCTTGGAGGTTTATTGGGACCCATTATCGTATGGTTATTGCATAAAGCTTTTCCCAACCAGAAATGGATTCCACTGATCAACCTTCCTGTGGTTCTTGGAGCAACGGCAATGATGCCTCCAGCATCATCTGTGAACTTCAATGGCTGGATTGTTGTTGGAATCATCTTCAATTATTATGTTTTTAAGTACAAAAAGAGTTGGTGGCAGCGATACAACTATGTTCTTTCGGCTGCTCTTGATGCAGGGTTGGCTTTCATGGCAGTGCTCCTATACTTCACATTGGACATGAATGGGGTACAACTATCCTGGTGGGGAAATGATGGCGAGCACTGTGATCTAGCCACTTGTCCTTCTGCCAAAGGTATAATTGTTGATGGCTGTCCTGTTTACTCCTAGATTCGTTTTAATAATTCTATCTAGAACTTTTCGGATTTTGGCATTTTTCAGTTTAATAGTTTATCATCAAGAAGCAATAAACTACATTGTAAATCTTGAAGACATTATTCATAATCATAGTTATAATATTATGCCATAACTCCTATGTTTTCATTTTACAATGGAAGAAGAAATCCATGTTTATGAATAATCATGTATATATATTCATCACAAAACTCTAAATTCATGAATGAACTGTTTGTTTTATAGAATCGACACCAAAACAAAATCCACACGAACAAGAGCGTACTAAAAATTAGTATTCAATTACAAATTTTACTTATTTGCAACTGATCTTGGTGAGGAGGCAACATATCTGGCAGAAAATCCCCGACGAATAGTGTCCTGGCTATCATCATCACAGCAGCCGTCATCAAAATTCTGAGCATAGCTTAAAGGGTCATACCTAAATCCTCCAAATGGTCTTTGTTGCCTAGTGGTGAAGAGCGAGGTTATGTCACACCCCATATTAGCCCGAGTGTCTCTGCCTCCGGTGTTACTTCTAACTCTCTTGTTTCTCCATGGAAGCTTCAACTTGAGACGACCCCAGCACGAGAGCAACGCTTCTTCATTTGTGTTCTTTGGAGATGAGTTTCCACTCATGATGACTCGGAGATTTTCAAGGGAAATTTCTTCTTTTGAAATAATAAAATGTTGTTTATACCTTTTTTTTTTCCTATTGGCACCTAAAAGTAGTTATTCTTTTTAAAAAGTTTGTGGGGTCTCTCTCTTCCTCATCTTTTGTTTAGGATTCGGAGTGTGTGGTAGAGGAGACTGGCAAAGCGATGAACATGAAAAATGATCTTTTATTTTTAAGGTTATAAAAAAAGTTGAAAAGATCATAAAAATGTTGAGGGAAGAAAACAAAACTTTGGAACGGAAGGAAATGTGAAAAACTAACAACTAAAAGAGGGTATCATTGTTTAATAAGAACTTTAAACGAGTTGTAAGTATGAGAAAAATGAAGCTATTGAGCTTGAAAAAACTTTGGATCATTTATGATGAATCAGCTTGGTACCGCAGAGAAATGTGAAGCAATTTCAGTGCCAAATGATTTTGCACTATCAACATTTTCAGATTACGTTTATAACCTTGCATCTTTACTTGTTATTTGGAAAATGATGTACTTGTTTAATAATGGGCAAAAATTAAAAGTTTAAACCAACAATTTATTAGTCCGAGTGAAATGAGTTTAATTTCTTTTAAATAAGATCTCGAATTTGAGTTTTATGAATGGGGAAATATTAAGAGAGTTTTTCTCTTTATGAGATCTGATGCGATTTGATTTTAAATTAATCGAGATCTAATGTAATTATTAGATACGGAAAGATTAATAAAAGAAATTTGATTTTTTGCGCAAAAGGGAAGAGAATATCCCTGGATTCATGGTTGATGCCATTTAATAATTGGCCATTAGCATGAGTTCTATTTCTTTATTAAATAAAATTTGATTCTCGAAAGTAATCACAAGAAAATAATTTCTTATAAATTTTTTGCCTTTCAAACTAAATGACTTCTTATCAAATTAGAAGGTTGAACTTGGTTTGATGCTAAAAATGAAGAATCTCGAGAAGATATACATCATTGTTTTAATGCTCATCCTGTCCAGCTGCCTTCCACATGTGGTTCATCCTTAGCCTCAGGGCTTTAGGCACACAGCAACCTCTCATTTCAGTTCTCACCAGTTATCACTGTATTTTTAACAACGTATTTTCCTTTTCTTCTCCAACTTTCTTTTATTTTCTCTTCATTATCACAGTATCTGAATGAAATATCTGTTCAAGGGAATCAATATCAGGGGCATCAGCTACCTCCCGTGTTCAAATTCGAAATCATTAACCCAAAAAGAGAGAAAAAAATACAGTTACTTAAGGGAATAGGATGGGAGCACATATTCTTTTTCTTTTTTCTTTTTTTTTAACATTTTTATCATGGACCGATAGAATCGTAGTACTTGGGGGAAGAAGAAATAAACCTTCAAGTGTGGCTCATGTGGCCCATAGGCCAAGTTCGAGCACATATTCTTCTTTGAAAATAGGTATAGAGGAAGATGCCAACTTTATAATTATTTTTATTTAAGGGTATAAATTTTGTTAGTTTTTAATAAAGGTGGTAAAATTTCAACATATTTTATTTAAATATACTAAATTTACTCTTTTTTTATTTAAAATTATTAATTTTACGACTGTGCATCATCATCTAATTAATTCGTAAATAAAAAAAAATACAAACGTAACATCCTTAAAAAGAAAAATTGCATTCTTATCTGCAACTTTTCTCATTCTCCATTCACAAACTTAAAGAAAATACTTTTAACCAAAAAAAAAAAAAAAACCCTAAAGAATATGCCCCTACCTCTATTGGTCAACTATAGCAGATTAGAAAAGATGCCCGTTGAAGGGAATCCAACCGGGGCGTACATGTTTTCCCTTCAAAGCACATATTGAGTGGACTTTTTTAAGTGTCAGATTAAGAACTGAACTATGCTTCAGCATGATGGTACAAAGAACAGAATAAGAAAATAAAGATTTTTTTGTTTAAAATTTTTATTTGAAAAAGAAAAGAGAGTATATGTCGCCCGTTGCTGTTAACAAGGAATACTGATAAGCAAAACTTAAATAAAAGAAACAAATGAAAGTTCATTGGAGGTCCCAGACATGCCCCACAACCCAACCCCTGGCTGAGAAGGGTGAAAGGGAGAAAAAAATCCAAGGCTGAAGTTTGAGATAACAAGTTATGAGGACCATATATCAAAACTGCATTTAAAATGACATGGACTTAAGAGAAAAATAGGAAAACAATAGGTTCTCAAGACATAACTTACAATACAGAACTGGTGCACAGAATCTCCATTGCAGCAACTACCACTGTCCAGCAACTAAGAATGAAAATGGCCTGCAAACTTGCCTACATCTTGACAGCCACCTGCTCTGCTGAACTTTTGTTCACAACTCCTCTGGAGCACAACTCATTCAATAACTCCAAAGCCTCCATAGCTAATCCCTCGTAAGCTATGCCTTCAATGAGAATGGTATATGTTGCTTCAGTGGGTTTACATCCCCTCATCACCATAAGAGCTAAGTAGTCAATTGCACGATCAGTCTTTTGAGCCTTACAAAGGCCCAACATGATAGCGTTGTAGGTGATAGCATTTGGCAGGACACCCATTTTTTCCAACTCATTAAAAAATTTTATTGCTTCATCAACTTTTCCCTCCCTACTGAGTCCTGTAACAATTGAACAGTATGTAATAATATCAGGCTTTACACCCTTGCTGCGCATCTCATCCAGAAGTTTCAGAGCTTCTTCTGTTTTCCCTGCCTTTGATAGCCCACAAATTACCGTATTATAAGTGATCTTCACAGGTGAGCAGCCCTTACTGCTTAGCTGATGCAGTATCTCAACTGCAACATCAACCTTCCCGTCTTTGCACAACGCTGTTAGCAAAGTGTTGTAGGTAACAATGTCTGGGTAGCAATCCCTAGATACCATTATCTCTAAATATTCAATTGCCCTTTCCATCTTCTTTTCTTGGCAGAATCCATGAAGCAATGGATTATAACTTAATGAATTTGGAGTACACCCATACTTTGGCATCTTCTCCAATATGCCAATTGCTCGTCCTAATAAACCCTTTCGACAAAAGAAGTTAATCAAGATGTTGAAAGTAACAACACTAGGAGAACAGCCTTTGCGAACCATATCAGCTAATAATCTCTCAGCATCCATCCACCTGCCAGTGCTGCACATGCTACGCAAAATAATATTATGAGTGATCACATCAGGATTGCATCCATATACTGATGGCATGTCATTTAGGAACTTGATTGCATCATCCAATCTCCCCTCCTTGCAAATTCCATTGACAAGAACATTGAAAGTAACAACATCTGGTTTACATCCTCTACTCCTCATCTCATCCAAGACTTTCATGGCCTGCTCAACACCACTATCCTTGCAAGTTGCTTCAATCAAAATTGTATATGTAATCACGTCCGGATAACATTCCCTTTGCAACTGTCGATTTAGAACTTCCATTGCTTGCTTCAACTTCCCACTATCACACAAACTACGCAATATCGTATTATAAGTAACAACATCAGGAGCAATACTCATTCGGTCCAAAAGCTGCAAAGCATTATCAATCTCCTCAGCCTTGCAATATCCACCAATCAAAACATTATAAGTAATAATATCAGGAACTGCTCCCGAATCTTCAATAATTTCCAAAACTAGAGATGCCCTCCTAGTCTTTCCTTTCTTACAAAACCCACGAATTAAGCTTGTGCAAGCTATAATATCAGGAATGTGACCCCGATAAACCATGCTCTCAAGAATCCTAAATGCATCTTCTAGTTCACCAGTTCTAACCAATTTCCGGAGTTGATTATTGCTCTCAGTTTCCTCAATATTTTGTGAAGAACTCGCCTGACTCACTTGACCATTTGCGTAATGATTGGGGGAGGAACTTTGAAAATTTCGTGATTTACCAATTATCCTAAAACTTCCAACCTTCGAAATAGCAAAAACTGTGTTTTGCCTCTTCTTCTGAAACCCCTGAGGTTTTCTAAACCCTGTACCACCACCTGCAGATTGAACAACAAAGCAAGCTTTGCAGCCCACACAGCCTTTCATATAATTCAAGTTGGCACCAACACTAACCTTAACCCTAGCTCTAAAATAACTACCATTTCTTATGCTTTCTCCATGAAAATGTTGAAATGAACAAAACCCATCATGGGCATGATTTCTATGTACCCTCATATCCATACCTAAACCTATTTCCCAATAAACAACCATCCAATACTCAAAAAACTATCCCAAGAAGGTTGTCAAAAGGATTATCGAAAAGGGGGAGTTTTTGCAGTGGTGGGTGTTTCAAATGGATGGGCCTCTAGACAGTAGAAAAGAACACAGGGAGAAGAAGCTTACCCAGGAGATGGATTTGTGCAGTGATAAAAAAGAAGGATCAGAAAGGCGAGAGTTCGCCGGCGCTGTTTCTTATCCAGTTTTCTGTCATCTTGCTCTGGTTTTGTGAAAATCTTATCTGCTCTGCACTCCGATGCGTTAACCGTAGAAAGGGCGGTGGCAGGAAAGTAAGAAGGAAAGTTTGTAAACTGGACTTGAAACAGGAAGACCATGGTGGACGGAAGCCCATTAATGTCTCCAACATGGCCCAAAGGTATGTTTTGAGAAACCCAAATTGGAGATCCTGCTCTCTGGTCCACCTGATGGAGCTTCCTAAATGAGAATTGAGAAGCCTTCCGGGTTCAAGAATTGAAACTTGTAGCACCTAATCCTTCGGGTCAGTTGACAGCCTGTCAGCTTGGAGTACATTCCTCTCTCTCATGAGTGAGCTTTCGACCCTGCTCATTGACAAGTTGTTCAAAAAAAAAGAATTGAAACCTTGTAAATGGAGGCATTAAGTCCAAATGCATACTTTCTTTATCAATTTTGTGTGCCTGTTACGTTGACAACTCTCTTGTATCCCAACTTACTGAGATGCTGTAAAGAGTGTTCCAACTTATTAAAACCTAAAACTTTAAATTGAAAGTTTTGAATTAAATCTTTTCAGATGTGTAAAAAGGAAATAAGGGA